TTACACCACATAGCAAAGAGTTCAAATGTTGGGTGGTTCTAGAGTTGGTTAATTTCAGCAGCTCTGTGATTACACTTGGGACAGGGATGCAGGTTCCTTCCATCTTTCCATTCTGCCATCCCCAGGTAGTGGCAGCTCCGCTCATGGTGGCCAGATAGCTGAAACAGCTCCAGGTATTGCTTTCTCGCCCAGTCATTCCAGAAGCAGAAAATGGTTAGGTATCTTTCTCGTGTCTCTTTTTTAGAAGGAAAGAAACTTTCTCAGAAGCCCCTCTCCACACTATCCCCCAAGACCACCCCATACATCTCATTGGTCATGGTTGTGTCACATGCCCGTGACTAACCAATCTCTCACATGGGGAAAGGAGTGACCACAGTTGGTTGAAACCAATCAACCTTGACCCCTCGTGCATGGGAAGGGTCTATACAGGACAGGAAGAAAAGTGGGAAGTAGGTGAGGGGGAATGGATGTTGGCTGGACAGAAAACAAACTGTGTCTTTTATGGCTCAGGTCCTCTCCTCACAAATGGTGACCTGAGCTTGAGAGAGATCTCCTCCAGTCAAGTCCCACAGGACTTGGTGTCAGTCGGGGGTAAATTTGGTTCTTACTTTTGGACAAGCTATATCATCACAACCTTTTGCGTATGGCCTAGAGCAACTCGAGCCTGGAACTAAGAATCTGATTCTCCATGAAAACTTTTCCTTCTACAATCATCTTAAGGGTCAGGCACAATGGCTCACATCTATAATCCCAACACTTTGGGAGGCAGAGGCAGGAGGATTGCTTGAGCCCAGGAGTTTTAGACCAGCCTGGGCAACATGGCGAGACCTCATATCTACAAAAACAAAACAAAACAAAACAAAAAATATATAAAATCGCCTTAAGTCCATGGCCAGTCTGAGATGTAATTTTCTGAGCTGACTCAAGCCCTTGACGTCTGTTATGCCTCCAGCCCCAGTGGAATGCCAATGAGAAGTTCAAGGGCACAGTGGGCAAGTGCTCTCCAGGCCGGCTGCAGGTTCAAATGCCATCACTGCCTTATCTGCTGTTTGTTGATCTCAGCAAACTATTCTGGCAGCAGCTGGCAGTGATACCATCTGCGAATAAGAGTAGCAACCCCTATCAGGCACCCCGTCAATGAGATTGTATCAGTCAGTGGCCAGCCGGGAAAATGGAAACCACAGAGATATTTCAAGTTTTAATGAGGATTGGTTACAAAGCTGTTGAAAGGGCTAGAAAACAAAAATATGATAAGGGGTGCTATAGTCTGAATGTTTGTCCCCTCAAACCTCATGTTGAAATTTGATCCCCAGTGTTGGAGGTAGGGCTGAAAGGGAGGTGTTTTAGTCACAGGGAAAGATCCCTCATGAACGTGTTGGTGCCATCCTCATCCTCAATGAGCAAGTTCTTGCTTTATTAGAGTGTTCTCACAAGAGCTGGTTAAAAAGAGCCTGGCCCCTCCCCATCTCTCTTACTCCCTCTCTCGCCATGTGATCTACACACACTGGTTCTCCTTCCCCTTCCACCATGAGGGGAAGCAGCCTGTGGTCCTCACCAGAACCAGACGCTGGTGCCATGCTTTTTGTACAGCCTGCAGAATGTATGTCAAATAGACCCTACCCCTCCTCTCCCCTCCCTTGTTCCTCTCCTCTCCCCTCCCCTCCCCTCCCCTCCCCTCCCCTCTCCTCCCCTCCCCTCCCCCTCCTCTCCTCTTTTCTCTTCTCTTCTCTTCTCTTCTCTTCTCTTCTCTTCTCTTCTCTTCTCTTCTCTTCTCTTCTCTTCTCTTCTCTTCTCTTCTCTTCTCTTCTCTTCTTTTCAACAGGGTCTTACTCTGTCACCCAGGCTGGAGTATACTGGCACGATCTCAGCTCACTACAACCTCCACCTCCCAGGCTCAAGTGATCCTCCCACTTCAGCCCCTCATGTAGCTGGTACGCCAGGCACATGCCTCCATACCTGGCTAATTTTTGTATTTTTATAGAGACAGGGTTTCATCATGTTGCCCAGGCTGGTCTCGAACTTCTGGGCTCAAACGATCATCCTGCCTCAGCTTCCCAAAGTGCTGGGATTACAGGCATGAGCCACCACACCCAGCCCTCTTTTCTTTGCAAATTACCCAGCTTCAGGTATTCTTTTACAGCAATAAAAATGGACTAAGACATGGATGTTTTCCAGGGATTAGCAAGCTGCTATATTCCAGGCTCTCGTACATGTCATTGTTGAGCTGCTAGAGGGGCTGCCCCTACCCTACACAGTAATCCAGCCCCTAATCCAGCCAGAGCCACTGACACTGCAGAGCCAGAATGGCTTTTTCCCTTCCTCCAGCCTTCTCATCTGTTCAGTACTTCCACTGGCCAGACCCAATTAAAAACCAACTGGTTGGAGGACGGGGATGGAAAGGAATGGATTGAGGCCCCAACAGATCACATGTGGAACAGAAACATGTAAGATGATGATCAACAGCAGAAATTTCAGACTCAGAGAGGCCTGGGTTTGGGTCTTTACCCTGTGATCTTGGGCAAGTCACCTCCCTGGTGTGAGCCTTAGTTTACTCATCTATAAAATAGGAATGATGATATACCCATTTCAGAGTATTGTTGTAAAGGCTCAAGAAGAAAATCATTATAAAGGACGTTAGCAGTGTCCAGCATCTTAGAAGGGGCTAAACAAATGTCAGCTGCAATTGTGTTCATTACCATCTTCATCATCATCATCATCACCATCACAATAATCTCAATACTTCTAGCCACGGCCTTTGCAACAAGCTCCTAGGCCCCCTTGCATCAGGGTCCCACTGTACCCTTCTAGGGGTAGCCAGGGCTTTCACAGGTCTTTTACTAAGACTCCTTTGGACTTCCAAGACATTCTCCAATTTCCAAGGAGCTACATTGGTAGCTGTGTTTCTATATTCCCAACTGAGAAAATGTGAAATGGCAAATGCCCCATGTGCAAGTGCCCTCTTCCACCTCATTTTTCCACTTAAGCCCCTTGTTTTCTGTTCTTAGCCATCCTGGCCCTCTTTCAGTTCCTGAATATGCCCTGCTCCTTCCTCCCATTTCAAGGCCTTTGTACTTTCTTTTTACCTCTGCCTGGAATGTTCTTTCCCATATTTTTTAATCTCATTACTTCAGACTTATCCCCCTAGTCCAGGTGGGATATTTTTGGTTGTAAGAGGCTAAAAACCAGACCCAAAATGATAAGCAAAAGCAGAAATTAAAAGTCCAAACATAGTTCTGACTTTAGGTATGTCTCTATCAGGGGCTTAACCATTGACATCAACACCCATTAACTCTAGATTGGCTCATGTGCCCATCTCTAAGCCAATTGCCATGGCCATAACTTGAGTTGAAGAAAATCAGATACAGTTCTAAGAAGGATGAGTGGGTGCTGAGCATGGAGACAGTGATCCACTCATGTCTCACTCAGTCCAGGGAGGTGCTCTTCGTGCCCACTCTCCCCCTCCAAGATTAAGTCAGTCCCTACTGTGATACACACTCACAGCTTCCTGTACATTACAGCACTCATTATCTTGTAATTATATGCTCGTGTAGTTGCATGATATCTGCTTCCCGCAACAGATTATGAGCTCCGTGAAGTCAGGGGCTATTTTGTCATCACTATATTCTCAGTGATGAAAAAGGCGCTCAATAAAGAGTACACATTTTAAAGGATTCATCTGGGACCCTGGGTGTGACTAGGCCCAGCCTACCGCCTTGACTTTTCCAGCTGCACTGCCATTAAGGTCAGAATCTTCCCCTCCAGAATCTTCTCTTCAAGCAGGCTTGGGGACACTTACACAGGACACATCTCCCCTGACAAGAGAATGACAATTTTCCTATGGGACTTGGCAGGCCTGCGTACCAGAACTTGGAGTGGATGATTCAGGCCAGCAGAGGGGACTTGAATCAGGAGGGGAGCCAGGGAGAAAAGGAGGGTCACTTTGGATTAAGAACTTTAAAAAGAGTGATTCACGATCATTGCGGCTGACATTTAAAAAGCCTCAAATACTTTTGGTAACCAATGTGCCGCTTTGCATTTTGCCTCACATTTATCCTGGGAATGAAGCAGCCCTCAGTTGCTCTGGGGTAGATCGTATTTCGTTTTCTGCTTCTCAAGCATCGGTGATGTTTGGCTCCTCAGTTTCCCATATTTAACTTATTGCCAAAGCTTATTTTCATGGGAGCTCTTGCACAGTGGAGACATTCTGGGCTTTGGTGTCAGGCAGGCCACGGTTGGCAACCTGACTTTGCCATCTGCTGCATGACCAAGGACAAATTACTTAACCTCTCTGTCTCCATTTCCTCTCCAGTCAAGTAACGATGCTAATGCCAACCTTGCGGGGGTTTGGGAAGGTGTAGATGGGGATGATTCTGTGCAACCTCCAGCTTTAGCCAAAGCTATGGTGGGCTTGTGAAAGGCAGGGGAAGAAGCACGTCTTGTGTGAGAGAGGAGAATGGGGAAGCCAGTAGGGCTCAGGTATCTCTCTGTCCTACCCTGGTGCAGGAGTTAGTCTGAGTCCTCAAGAGAAAGTCTCGGGCTCCTTGTCCAGATACTCTGTCAGCCACAGGGCACAAATGGTGTAGCTTTAGGATGCAGGAGACAGTGTGGAATGCTGGGTGTGTTGGGGAGTGGCGGGTTGTGAGGGAGGTCTTGGACAAACCAAGACTCAGTCCCCTGGACGTGTGCTGTTTCCCCATTGAGGCCTGAAACCCAGAGGAACTTCCAGGCCCTCAGCCTTCCCATACGAGGAGTCAGTGGGCCCAGCCATTTACATGGTACTGGGCATCAGGGTAGGGATAGTGATGGGGTGATCTCACTACCTCCCCTTAGACACCCCCAGATATAACAGGGTGACACCTTGTTGGAGGCTGGAGGCCTGTATTAGAAGATAGAGGAAGAGCCAGAAAAATGTAGGTTCTGACCACTCCAGTAATCCCAGGTGAGGCCTGGGTGATTTAGGTTCCATATGAGGGCCAACATAGTACTCAGCACTTACTGTGATTTTTTAAAAAATTTTATTTCCCAATTGAATATTTCTAGAATACAGTAGCAGTGACATAAACTTTTTTACTTCGAATCTGGCCACTTTAGAGAACTCTTTTGTCTTAATGACTTTTGAGTTGATTGCCAAGCATCTTTGACATAAAGTCATGTCACCTGCAACTAATGATGAATGTTATCTCTGGTCCCAACATCTGCATTCCAGTTTCTAAGTCATGTCTCATTGCACTTCTCAGAACATCTTGACAACATTAGATAATAGCAGCGATGGTTGTTGCCCCTCGTTTTATTTCCAGTTCCGTTAGTTATGTTCCAGTAAAGTGTTTCTTGCTCTTAGGATATTCAAAAATACACCTGCTGAGTCCCAGCCCTGAGGAGTGTTTTCGTGCTTCATTATTAAGTATCTTGAAGGCTCTCAGCTGGAAAGAAATGCCCTTCATTTACTAAAGAAGCATCCTTGTATTTTTAAGAGTCTTTGAAAAGAATGAGTTTTGTGTTTTATTAAGGACATCAGCCCTGATTCTAAAAACAAAACAAAACAAAACAACCTATGTCTTTATCTGTAAAATGAACTGAGAGTTATGGAGGAGCAGCAAAGGTAATAGTAACCACTTCACAGAGCTGTTGAGAGTTAAATGAGCTAACACATGTGAAGTGCCTGGCAGGGAGTCTAGCAGCATCAGGCTGGCAAGTGTCATCACTGTCATGGGTCCCATCTGGGGCTGTCCTGACACACTGTTCCCCTCCTCCAGGCCAGGAGACCCTGGGCTTCTCCCCTGCTCCCCCACTAAAGTGGTGTGGCCAGCAGGGATCCCAGCCGCCATTAGCCAAGTGCTGTTTTGGAATTTGGCTGAAAGTCACAGGCTGGGCAGTTGGGAGGCTGGATAGATTGGGATGAAGACCCCCAGAGAAAGGCCAAAAGCTGGAGGACCTCCGGTGTCCTGGCTGTGCCCATCTAGCTGTGGGACCTCAGCATGTCCCTGGGCCCCTGGGCAGCCTGTTTCCTGAAGAGATAGTCTCTGAGGCCTGGCCTACCCGCTGGGACCCGCTGAGTGAGACAAAGGGCTGAGTCGGCCCAGGGCACAGAGGGGAGAAGACTCTTGTTATTATAATAGATAACCACATGGCTTGCTTGAGCAGACCCTGCGAATTTCTCCAGAGCCACCACATTACTCCCACACACTCCACTGCTTCTCTCCTCTATGTGCACCTAAATGGTGCGCTTTTAAGGGGGACAGAGATGAGCACGACTAGCTGAATAATCTGTGGGGCCCATTGCAAAATGAAGTGTGTGGGGGCCCTTTGTTCAATAATGATTAATAATTTCAGGCAGGGCGCCATGGCTCATGCCTATGATCCCTGCACTTTGGGAGGCTGAGGCAGGAGGATTGCTTGAGGCCAGGAGTTTGAGACCAGCCTGGACAACATAGTGAGACCTCATGTCTATTTAAAAAAAAAATTCGGTTGGGCACGGTGGCTCACGCCTGTAATCCCAGCACTTTGGGAGGCTGAGGCGGGTGGATCACCTGAGGTCAGGAGTTCAAGACCAGCCTGACCAGCATGGTGATAGCCCATCTCTACTAAAAATACAAAAATTAGCCGGGTGTGGTGGTGCACATGCCTGTTATCCCAGCTACTCAGGAGGCTGAGGCAGGAGAATCACTTGAACATGGGAGGCAGAGGTTGCAGAGAGCCAAGATCACACCACTGCACTCCAGCATGGGCCACAGAGTGCGACTCTGTCTAAAAAAAAAGTCAAGATGGTGACATCAGAGCATTAAACTAAGAGTGAGACCCTTGTAGACTCAGGGCCTGTGACTGCAGAGGTTTCACACTCATGAAGCCAGCCCTTAGGGTAAGAACAGACACCCCCCAGAATACTACCTATTAAGAACTCTGGACAAGAAACTTCTTGCTGTCGTGGAAACCAACAGTGTAGTCACGGGGCTGTGAAGGTGGAGGGCGGGGAATCCCAAAGGCTTTGGTTTCATCATCACAGAAAACCTCATCAGGAAGGTCAAGCTGTCGGGACTGTGAGAGTGCTAGTGGCATCTGGGTCCGTGTTGCTGAGTTCATCTTGACCTTCCCGTATTTGGGTAGGTGAACCCCTAAGCCCCTAAGTACCTACCTTTGCTAAGCTCAGTGAAGTTGGGTTTCTGACATTTAAAAATATAGCAGTGTTGATAATCTTGGACTTTATCCATTAAGTGGGAGAGGATTTGACTCCCTTGCCTGGTGGGAAGCAGGGGTAGAGTCAAGAGGAGAGGGCGTGTGGGGTGAGCATTGGGGACAGAGCCCTTTGTTGGAAGATAAGTCTGAGACTGTGGCAGTTAATAAGGTCATTTTGAGAAAGGGAGTCTATACTAAGGTATTAATCCAGGGCTCCAGCTGAACTACAAAAACCAAGGTTTTGAGGGAGATGGATGCAGGTGCACACCTGAACTCTGGAGGTAGAGCGAGGGTCCTCCTGGGGTTTTACTCCTTTACTATTCTGGCCCCAGAGGTGCTGCTCCCTCCTTACAGTTTTCCCTTAAGGGTGGTCACTTGGTCCCTCCCTTATCTAAAAAAGGCTGGAACATTCAAGAACCCTTTACTAAAGGCTTGGAAGTACCAAGAGAAAATAAAGATAAGGGAGCCCATGAATCTGGAGATGACCGAAAGGCCTTGTATCTGGTGATGGGTGGATTCCCCTTTTCTAGGGGCAGAGAGGGGATCCAGGGAGTTCTCCTTTTTAGTCTCTCAGCTTCTGATGGCCTTTCTCTCTTTCATTTTCCCTCATCCCTTCTGGAGCTGAGGGGGTGAAGGGGATAAAATACCTTTAGATCAAGCAATTTCACTTTTAGGAGTTCATCCTACCGAAAAAAGTTACATTCAAGGGTGTTCACTGTAGCTGTAATATTGTAATAGCCGTGCATGTGCAAGTGTGTGTGTGTGTGTGTGTGTGTAATACATTTTATGTAGAAACAGGTCTGAAAGCACATAGTCCAAACTGTTAACAATAGTTACCTCTACGGAAGGAAGGGAGTGGGGAAGGAACAGAGACTTTCCTTTGCCTCTGTAGACTTTATATACTTCTGCTTAATTCGGATTTTTTAAAAACTATTTTTCCAGTATGTATTCATGTGTATAATATAAAATGTACAATTTAAAAATAATGAAATTTAAATATCATATTATACAAAATTTTGAAAGTTTGAGGAAAGAACATGAAGTCAGATGCCATAGATTTGTAGGGCTGTTAATCCCCATGGTAATTTCATTTCTTCCACCAGTTTTCATCAGTCCGGGGGGCAGGACTGGAGAAAAGTGATGTTAAATGGACCCGGGAGAAGGCGGCTAAGGCTCAGGGGCTCGGTTGTTTGACATTTGACATCAGTGAGCCCATTTACTCTCTGAGGTAGATGCTACCATTTAGATCCTAGATTTAGAGTGGAGTACAGTGGCTGGGAGAGAAGTCAGGAACTCAAGGTCTAATTGATGGCAGAGCTGGGATTCAGACCTCAAGGTGTGGAGCTCTCCCACTTGTGGCTGTCTCAAGCATGATTCAATGGGGGAAGGCAAGGGAAGGAAGACAAAGAACTGGGTGCAGGTGGCACAGTCTTTGAATGACTGACCCCTGGGTGGAGACGGAGATCAAGCCAGGAGGGAGAACTGGCCGTGTAGAGGCTCAGGTTTAGTAGAAGAGGTGTGGAAGCAGAGTAGGTTTGGATTTTAGACAGGCAAAGCTGTGAGGGACCCAGCATCTGCACGCCTCTAATGAACTGGTGAGGGGGGCCATGAAGACTAAGGAGTCTCCTGGGAATGGATTGACCTATAACCCACAAATCTGTGCCAGTCACAGGCATAGGGAGGCTGGGCCTAGGTCCTTTGGTTTATCTCCTTTCCCAGCCCCACTGACCTCATGCCCGAGTCCTGGAGTAAGAACTGAAGCAGACATTCAGCTACAAGTCTGAGTCTTGTGGAAGTCAAGCAGCTCGGGCTGGGGGTCCTTCCACCCGGGGAAAGTGGATCTGGTGAAGCGTGTTTCACTTTGTGCCACGGAATAGTGAGGTTGAACATGGCTGGTGTGGTGGAGGCAGCTTACCTTTCAGCAGTACTGGGATTGTTCATGAGCCCTCTAGACACCTGGTAGGAACAGGATTCTTTGCAGGGGCCTGGGAGTCCTGGGTGATTTAGTGGGTGGCACATGCCAGTGACGTTTGGGTTACTTCTGTCAGTGTGACCCATTTTCTGTCCACTGTGACAGGGTAGAGAAGTGTTCAGGAACCTCAAGGTGCAGGTTAGAGCCAGGGGAGGAGAGGTGGGGTGGAATTGATGTTAGGTGGTTGGAGCTGAGAGGAAGGGCCTGTGACTTCCTGGAGTATCCCAGGCTGAGGTTCTGGGTATGGGAAAAAACGGACTGAGACTCCAGAAGCAGGCAGATGACTCCTATCTTTCCTATCTGCTTCTGCATCATTCATAGCCCCAGGTCTCTAAGTCTAGGGTCCCAAAATTGCAGAGCTGGAAATCAGTTACAGCTTTCTGGGAACAGAGAGGGTAAGTGACCAGTTCAGGACAGCACAAGGCAGTCCGGGCAGTCAGCGAGGTGTGCCGCGGGGCACACGGGGGTTTTCAGGCCAGCTGATCCCCCAGCCCTAGTCCCCAACCCCCTCATTTAGTGCGTGGCCAAGGACTAACAAGGGAGGTCCTGCCTAGCAGGGGAGGGCCGAGAGGACCGGAGCTGCCTGGAGCCTCAGAAGCGGCAAGGTCAGCGCTGCCGGGAGTCGTCAAGGCCGGACGACTCTGCGGGGCGGGGAGGAGAGGTAGCGCTTTAAACTTCCATGAACTCTGGCGGCTCAAAGCATTTTCTCCATTAAGCATCCTTTATTTACAGAGCTCCAGATTCTACCTAGAAAGAAGACCTCTTAAAACTGCAGAGCAAAGGCAGAAAAAAATTCTACGATTTAGGTGCAATAAGGAGTGATGTTTAAAAATCTTTTCTTTTTTAAGACACTTCACCAAGCCAGTAGTACTTTTATAAGGCAGAGAGGTATATTAATATTGCTTACTGTGCTTAAACTTCGTAATAGAGCCACGTGCCAGTGGCAGTTTGGCCAGTAAGGTACTCTCGGGTTACCCTGCTCGGGCCAGGAAGATGGAGGCTCCGGGGACCCGGCACCTGAACCTGTGCTGCAGTCCCAGCTCCACAGCAGGGACCCCTGCGCGACAGCAGGGAATCCAGCCTGCAGCACGCCTCCGGATCTTTACAGTAGCCAGGCCCGAGGCGGGAGCGGCTGCCTCTCAGGGTCGCTCCAGGGCCGGGCTAGGAAAGGTGTGGACGGTGGGAAAGGACAGGAAAGAGACGGCTGCACCGCGCCAGGGTCTCCGAAAACCCGGAGCTTAGGGAGGACGGGAAGACTGACGGGGGTCCGAGGTAGCCAGCTACAGGATACAGGATGGACGCCCAGGGGCACCGCCCTCCAGCTGGTGGGGGAGGAGCCCCAGCCACCAGGAAATTAAGCGACTGGCCCCAGCTCACACAGCAAGCTGGTGGCTGTGTGCGTGTCCGGCGTGTCTGGGGTCCTCATTAAGCCCCAGGCCTGCAATGCGTACACCGCCCCTTCCCCTGGCCCTGGCTTTGGGGTCTCGGACGCCGGACTAGCCCTTTGGTTAAAATGACAGGAGGACGGGCGCCTGCAGCCTGCACCGAGCTGTAGCTTTGCTGCCGGCTCGGAGCCTGTGTAGTCCGAGGCGTGGCGCGCCAGGTTTTGGCTTGAGAGGGAGCGCACGCGGACTGTGGCTTCTCGCAGACGCCCAGGCCCCACCCACACAGGACACGGCGCGCGGCGCCCTAGTTTGACTTTCACCACCCCCACCGAAGGAGGTCTTTCCACCGGTCTCTTTTCTGGGTAACAGCTCCAAGGCTCACACATGGTGACCCCACCCAGGTCACCTAGCCGCTAAGTTACGGAGCCGGAATTCGAAGTTGGCGGTTGGGGTTCTGATGGCCTCGGGACGGAGGTGGCTGTGTGTCCCTGGGCAAGTCTCTCTCCTTCTCTGGGTAGCCCAGTCGGGCGCCGCGCGGGTCGTGGCCGCGCATGCTCAGTTGCGGGCAGCGCCCAGAGGAGGCTGCTGGCGCCCCAGCTGCTTTGCATTGACGCCAGCACCCGCAGGAGGTCACCGCTGGGGGCTGGGCGCAGCGCGCTGCCAGCAAAACCCGGCCGGGATCACGGAGCCGGAGCCAAACCGCCAGTAACTCCCGGGTGCGCGCAGCCGTTTCTGCGCTTCTCGACGGTGCGGCCCCAGGCCCCGCTGGAGCCGAGGTGCGCCCCTCCCTATCCCGGCGGACGTGGCCCGGCCGCCCTTAGGGGCTTCCCTAGGACCCCGCGCCTTAACCCCGGCCAGCGGGAGCATCTAAGGCTGGCCTTGTGCCCCACCGGCGCTTGGCCTGGGGAGCTTTTCCGCGAGTCGGCGGCCCAGCGGGCGGAGCGGCGTGGGTGTCCAAAGCTAGGCGGAGTCTGGAGCCCGGGAGGCGGCGGCGGCGGCGGGAGCGGAAGCGGGAGCGGGGCCGGGCGCGGCCGGGAGCTCGCCTCCCCCGGGGGTCGCGCCGCAGCTCGGCGAGGGCGGCGTGGCTCGCGCGGCGTGGACTCAGCCGCTCCCGGGTAAGGAGAGCGCAAATCTCCTCCCCCGTATTTCCCCGGAAGCGCGGCCGAGGCGAGCGCGGCGATGTGAGGGAGGCGGCCGGCGGCTCCTGCCTCAGGAAGGGCATGTTCGGAGGGGCGGCCGCGGCACGCCACCCGCCTCAGTGCTCCCTTCCCACCGCCGCCGCCGCAGCGCCCGCACCGCGATAAAAGAGGCGGCCGCGCTTCCTGACGCGAGATCCGCGCTAGCCGCCGCCCGCCCAGGCGGCGATGACACGGCGCCCGCGGCGGTCCCGAGGCGCCGGGTGGGCCGTTTGCTGACCGGATCGCGGCTACCTGCCAGCGTGTCCGCGGCGCCGCCGCCAGCATGGGCTGTGCCCCGAGCATCCACATTTCCGAGAGCCTGGAGGCCGAGGACGCACCTAGCCCCGCGGCATCGCCGCTGTCGTCCGGCGGGCCGCGCCTCCCGCAGGGCCAGAAGACGGCCGCCTTGTCCCGGACCCGCGGCGCCGGCCTCTTGGAGTTGGAGCCTCGCGACGGCAGCGGCAAGAAGGTAAGGGGCGCCGGGCACTCTGGGGCGCCGGGAAACTCGGGCCCGGCCAGTCAGTAACTTTCCCTCAGGGGCCGGGCGGGGTCCCCCTCCCCCGGGCCTCGGTGCCCTCTTGCCCCGCTTTGGTTGGTTCTGATTGACGCCAGTCGCCCGCCTTGCCGGGGCAGCGTTCAGAGAAGGACTGACCCAGGTGCCGCGACCCTGATTTCCTAGGGTTGCGATTAGGATGTCGCCTGTGTCGCGGCGTCGGTTCCTTGGACACATCCGACTCCCGGAGCGGCAGGGCCCACTGTGAACTTGACTGAGGCGCTTGCATCAATTTCCTCTCCAAGAACTGGTGTTGGAGGGAAACCCCCAGGACATTCTGGCGCGCCCCTGCAATGTTAAATCGGTGTGAACTTTGTTCTTTTCCTGTGGTACAAAGGGAAGGGCGACTGGCCTCACCATTCTTTTCCCTTTCAGCTTTGTACATGCAGTTGCAGTTTACCATTTTTTTCCGGACTATTAGAATGTAATCTGGGACATCAGCTTTGCTTCATTGCACATGTATTTGAGGTCCACGTTTATTAGCATACATACTGTATTTAAAGCATATGTAATTAGAAAATACTGTGAAACGCGATTTTTGAAGCATTCAGCAGAACAAAGTTAATCTTTTATTAAGCAGACTTACTGGGACATGTTGTGACTGTTTGAGGTTGTTTTTTTACGTTGCGTGTCTTCTCCAGCGCATGTTGCCTTGGCTTATGTTTTGTCAAAGTTTCTGGGGTTAGTCTTTGTTAAGGTTTTCTAAAGGAAAGATACAAAGGAAAAAGAAAAATGTGATCATGAAGGCACACAGCAGCAGCTTTCCAGTTCTCTCATTTCAGAATTTAAAGTTGGAACTCATGCGTTGGTTTATGTTTTGTTAAACCAGTAACAAACAACAACGACAACAAAAAATTCGTGAATGGCTGCAGATTGTTGGCTGTCATCCCTCTCATCACGACCAGTTTTTGAAAGAGTAATTTGCAAAATTTGTTTGATTTTCCTTGCTTGCTGAGAACTGCTGAACATCCCAAGTTTGAGGGATATAGTTTGATGTACTTTGTCTTACATTTCTAACAGTCGTCATGATACTTTTTCTGTATGAAAGAGGAAAGTCTTTTTCAGTGTTGCGTAATATAGTTGAAGTGATTTCCCCACCATTCCCATACCCTAAGTGAAAATTCAACTTTGTTCTGATTATCAGAAATTGAATTCCTTCTCCTATAGATTCTTTAAAGAAACCTCTGATGGTTTAGACTTATTAACTCAAGGTGCTCTTAATATCAGTGTTAAGCTATGTGTTAAGCCTACCTAACTGGCTTTAAAAAAGCGTTACACAGGTGCATATGGAAACTTTAACAGCTTTCAAGTTTTCAGTCCAAATCTAACATTGGTTATTTTGCAGACTAATGTGATACTTTCAGATTACCAAAGTAGCCCTTTTAGTAAGAGGCCCTTGTGTCTTACAGGCTTTTTTTTGTGGTGGGCTGGGTGTCCTAAAATTCACCTAGGTGTCTTGTAAGCCTCCCTGGTGCAGCAGCAGCTTGCTTTAGTGCTATCGCAGTGCCTTTAGGTCCCTGAGTTTGTAAGTGCTTACTTCAACCATTCTTCCCTATTGGTAGACTATTGTCTTGTGTTGGGGGCCCAGAAAATACTTTCATCCTTGAAGTGCCTAACCCAGTGGCATACACATAGTAGGTACTAAATAAGTGTTTACTGACTTCTTTAAAAATTGTTAACTGAATGATGAAACATTTTCAGTCATTGGAATTTGATTTCATAAAGCCTCCTATATAGACTTCAGAATAATAGTATTTCCAGAGCAGGAGTCAGATTATGAATTATAACACCACAACCACAGAAATAATAGCCCCATACTTGTTATTCATGAACTGTACATGTCGATACCTCATTTACAGATATTTTCATTTAGGCATGTCGGATAGTAGAGCAGAGGTAAATGTCAGCATTTTTTCTAGTCTAATATTTTTTCTTTATGAGAATGCATCTTTTTAAATTAAGATATTAACTATACTCTGGAAATTCATGTTTAGAGAAAGTAAACTGCTAGCAATTTAGCAAAATTAAATCAAAATTAATTTCTTTATATTAACATCTCAAGATGCAATTTAATTCATTACAAAATTTCTTTTTAAAACAGTAAGTCAGCATATCTAAGTGAATTTCGACAAGAAATTCATTGGGGGATGCTTTTATAGTCCTACAGTATTTAATAAATACCAGTTTATCAGTGTAGGTGGGAGATTGATAACTAATTGCATTTTCAGGTTAAGCAGTATGTACCCTGCGTTAAAGTGTATCCTGCATGTGTTCCATGGAGCAATATGTGAACTGCTAATAAGTATGAGAAAAGAGTTCCATCGTCTAGTAAGTTTTTGGGAAGTACAGGTTGAATATCCCTAATCAGAAAATAAGAAATGTTCCAAAGTCTGTTTTGAGTGCTGATATGATGCTCAAAGGAAGTGCTCATTGGAGCATTTCAGAGTTTGAATTTTCAGGTTAGGGATGCTGTGAACTGGTAAATATAATGCAGATAAAAAAAAAAAAAATCCGAAATCCAAAACACATCTGGTCTCAAGCATTTGGGACAAGAGATATGCGGCCTATACTGGCTCAGACTAAGTTCAGCAGAGTTCTTTTATGTAGGACTTGTCAGAGAACCTAATTTGTGAAAGTAATCTGTGAGTCTCCAAGTGGTTTTTAGAGTGTGCAGCATTTCCTAAACTAGTTGATTATGGAGCCCTTTTCTTGAGGTATATGTCAGGCAGGCCACATGTTAAGACCTGATTTTTTTTGTGAGATACCAATATTCAAAGTACAAGAAATATACTTAACAGTAAAACTCAACGAATGTAATTTGCTTCTTAATGATTCCAAAGGTACTTTAGATTTTGTAATATATTAGGCTGTGTTGTCTGTATGAACTTATTTAAGTATTACTAAAAATACCCTCTAGATGTTTATTTGTTTCAGGAGTTTAAGTTTATGTGGTTATAGATAGTGAATGCTGTGTTAAGTTTGTGAACACTTAAGAGTTTTGTTTATTTTTAATCAGTGTGAGCCTTAATTGTAACATTTTAATATTTTCTTGCCAGTCTTTGGATTTACCCCATTTCCTCTTTCCCTAGCCAGGACTTGAGTTGCCCTTGAAAGATTTGCATGTAGTGTTGGAGACCCTATGCTCTCCCCCCACCTTCCTTTTTGCAAACACCCACTGCACTGCTAATGATTGATGCTCCCCGCACCCCCAGTAATCAACTCTGTGAGATGGCAATCATGTTTGTTTTGTTCACTGCTATATCCCCCAGGCCTGGCACACAGTAGGCCTTCCATAAACATATGAATTAGATAATTTTGTGAACCAGACTGTAGAAGTTGAAAATCCACCCAGGCCAGGTAAGTAGAAATAGAAGCCAATTTTAACTAGAGTAGAGACTATAAAGTTTGGATTTGGTTTTGTGGAAATCTCTGGTTATTGCTCTTCAGAGCACTGTACGAGGCAATAATATATTTCTACCCTGTTCAGCAGAGATTTCCCTATAAAGAAAAATTAAAGAGGCTGGATGCAGTGGCTCATGGTTATAGTCCCAGCACTTTGGGAGGCCAAGGCAGAAGGATTGCTAGAGCCCAGGAGTTTGAGACCAGCCTGGACAGCATCTCAAGACTCCATCTCTACCAAAAAATAAAAATTAGCTGGGCATGGCACTGCACACCTTTAGTCCCAGATACTTGGGAGGCTGAGGCGGGAGGATCACCTGAGCTAAGAAGTTCAAGGCTGCTATGAGCCGAGGTCACATCACTGCACTCCAGCCTGGGCAACAGACAGAAACCTTGTCTCGAAAATAAATAAATAAATAAATAAAAGATGTAAGGATTAGTGCAGCTAAGGTGATAGATAATAGTACAGCTGCATGCCAACCGCTAATCAGGTGTTACTGCTATCAGCACTCACTCAGAATCTCAGACATTCTCCAGTTGGTCCATTTCTGTTTCCCTTTGCTTCTGTCATTCGCTTCCTCCATCCTCTTTTCTCTTACTTTTCATCACCTCCCCTCCCACTTCCATCTTCCTCCTTGCTTTTTTCTGCTGGCCCACCTTCCTGCATGAAACTGGCCACTCTTGCCATCTTAGTCAACTAAAGTTTAGTGATTTCTAAATGTTAGTAAGCAATGGAATAAAATTTATTGCCTGCTCCTAGTTTACAAAGTGGATTAGTCAAATTTTTTTTTTTTTTTTTTTTTTAAAGACAGAGTCTTGCTTTGTTACCCAGGCTGGAGTGCAGTGGCACAACCTTGGCTCACTGCAGTCTTGACCTCCTGGGCTCAAGTGATCCCCCCACCTCAGCCTCCCAAATAACTGGGACTACAGAAGTGCACCATGCGTGGCCAGTTTTTTAAACTTTTTTTTTTGTTGAGATGGGATCTTGCTACGCTACCCAGGCTAGGCTCACACTCCTGGGCTCATATGATTCCCCCAGCCTCAGCCTGCCAAAGTGCTGGGATTACAGGTGTGGGTTACTGTGCCCGACTGATTACCCCAAATTTTATATTTGGCAAAACTAAAGCAATTTTCTCTTTGTGTGTGACCTGACTGATTTTTTTCCTCCACTAGGGGTCTTTGACCCTTGCTAGATTATATGGAATTACTGAAAGTTTCCCTTTGCAGGTGTAGATGAGAAAAATGAGACCAAACTTTCTGCTGCCATAAGTGACTACAGTTTATCTCCAGAGCTCAGGGGTTGTGAGTTCCCTCATCATTGTGTTCTTGTGCCTCTCAGTATATAGAAAGATATTTCTGTATTCATTTTCTTGAATTCCT